GGGGACCTGTTAATATGGATTTCAGGGCTCTCTCTCCATGCTTGGAGGGAGGGTATGGTGGGAGAGATCAACTGGTGCAATTGCTCAGGTCTCCAGCCAGGTTTTTCCTTCCCTGTCCACAATCCTGGGCACTTTCCCCTCTGATAAGTCCACTTGTGTTTCCTCTGCACCCACAGTTTGTGTGTTGGGGCTGCTGGCATGTGTCTCCACTTGCCAGTGGTGGATAGGGGGATCTCCAATTCTGCCCCCCTTTTCCACCACTAGACCTCAAGGAAGGAGGGTGGGCCTCTCTATCCCCAGTAGTCTCTGCAAGTTAGATGCTCCCACCAGGGGAGGGGGAATGGAGCCCACCTACAGATCCCTGCTCTCTTGAGGTCTTCCACACCCTCCAGGTGGGCATGGACTCTCACTTGCCACCTGACCCTGGAACTGGAATCTCACTCCGACACTGCACCATCTGCCATCTGTGCTATCAGCAGATGAACGTGCCATGTGCTTGTGCCAGGAGGGTCAGAGACAGAAGTTTCCCTGCCTGCTGGAGATGGAGACATGTCCTCAGCAGTGAAAGTAGGTCATGTGGCAGAGAGAACTCTACCTGTTGCTTTGGATGGGGGCTGCGGACTTCCTGAAATGCTGTTGAGTTGGGGGCACCCATCTGCCCTCCTCTCCAAACCCCAGTGGTGGTAGCATGGCCGCCCTCCTCTCCATGCCTCTGTGGTGACTATGCTGACTGAGGCAGGCTCAGCGGGGAGTGCACTGTCCTTAGGGGGAGCTCAGACCCTCAGCATAAGGCACTTTGGTGGTTGTTGTGGGGTGTGTGTGGCCCTGCAGCTACGAGTGTCTTGAGCCAAAATTACATCCTGGGATGCCAGGAATGGAGAAGGTGCAGAGGAGGGGGTATCCAGATGCAGGGATCCCAACTCTTTGGTCACTCATGACAATCCCACATGAGAAGAGAGCCCTGTGTCCCTTGCTGGTCTGAGCCACCTCAGTGAGAGGAAGAAGAAAAACCCCTTAGACTTTCATAGGCTCCAAAGGCCCTGGAGTTATTTCATGCTGGTTACTCCCGTCTATCCTCCTCTCTCTCCATTGCTCAGTTGCTCCTGGTGATGATCCCAGACTCCACTGCTGCCTGTCCCTTGTGGTCCATTTCTGAGCATTAAACACTCTCCACTCTCCTCAGTCCCATCCTCAGCTCTTCTGCCAGAATGGTCTGACAAGATTTGTCTCCAGTCGGTATTCTTGGCTCTCATATATTTCATTCAAATCTTACCCAACAGAATTCATTCTTGTTTTATCCCTTTCTGAATCAGTGGCTGGCTTCTCCAACAGTGAGAACCATGGCTTCCATAATCCTTAATATATTTCTTATTGAATCAGCATCCTTTACATAGCCACCACCTATCCCTCCCCATTCACAGATGTCTCCTCACCTCACTTGGGCTCTCCACACCCTACATGGGCTCTTGCTGCTCTTGCTGAGCCTGCTCTGCATGGGCTGCTCCTCCCCTTGCTTGGCTCCTGCACCCAAGCCAGACTGCCCCTGCTTGTGGACACAACCAGGACTCAATCCTCTACCTTTACTTGTGGCCACCACCCTACTGCAACACACCTAATGGCTTTGGGAGTGATTTCCTCAGAGAAGAAAGTGGAGGGAAGGAGCAGAAAGGAAAAGTAAGAACACTGTACACTGTCTGATACCAGCTGAAACTGATGAGTGCTTTTAGTCTTGCTGCCAAACCAATTGCCCAACTGACAATTTCTTATTCGGTGTTTATTGTGCATAGACATTTTGAAGTTGAAGATGGATTACAAGAGATATAAAGAAAACATGCTTCCTGGCTTCCAGAAACATCAGGGGAGATGGGATTAAGATATTCAATCACCACTAATAGTATAATAATAAGTTCGTCCTGTGAGTATTACAAAAATTTGTGCTTCAAAAGATAAAATTAAACTGTGAATATATATTCTAAGCAATGGGCAAAGCCACAATGGCTTAACTCTCACCTATGTTAATATCAAATTGGAGTTTTGAAATAAGCCCAAGGAACCAGTGATTATGATGGCAAAAAATTCTTAGTTGCCGGTTCCCAATCATTCAGTACTATAGATTCTTACTTAATGTGCATGAAGGCATCAGATAATAATTTTGTAAAGAAATGTTTGTTGGTTTGCTCAGTATACTTATTATATAGTATAGTACAAATAGAGCCGGTGGTACAACTGCCATGATTATAGCCACCAAAATAATTCTTACTTTCATTGGCAATTCTTTTTTTTTTTTTTTTTTTACTGAGATAAAATTATATTTTGGTCTGTTTCACAATTGATAAAACATGTATAGCTATTAATTTAATGATTGCTATAGGTGGGTGATGAATACATCGGAGGGTCATTTTACTGTATTCTTTACTTTTATATATGTTTCAAATTTTCATAATGAACAGTGGGAAAAATTTAAGTTCTTATAAAAAATATGCAGCAAAGAGGTTCATACCATTATGATTGAGATGATTCACACATACTGCAAAGCAAAGTAACTTATCTTGCCTTAAGTGTAATAAGAAAAAAATGCAAACAGGTGATTTCTATAAAGTTCCGCATAGCCACTGGTAGTTTCAATTTTAAAATTCAATAAATAATTTTCAGGATAGGTTAAAAACATTTTAAACACATGGCCTTACAAACACACACATTATTTCACAAAGGATCATCTGCAAGTTTAAGAATTAATTACTAGTAAAAATAACCTTTAACAATGAGTTTTCTTTCTATAAGGTCATTTTTCATATATTCAACAAATAGCACCTGTTAAGTGCTAGGACCTGTGCATATAATATTGAAGACAACAGAAGCCTTTCTCTCTGGAAGCTGATATTCTAGTTGGAGTTGCAGACATAGCAACATACCATTACAACAAAATGTGCTAAGATTCTAAATGTGTATGTGTATAAACTTTTATTTCAAAAAATAATTTTGGAAGAGCTGTGGTCATAATGAGACAGCAAATTACACTTGATGGAAATTATTTCACATGTACTATCATTATTTTTCTCAATTCTGAATGTTTGGATAGCTACTTCTTTAAAATTAAATGTTATAGGCTGGGCGCGGTGGCTCATGCCTATAATCCTAGCACTCTGGGAGGCCGAGGCAGGCAGATCGCTCAAGGTCAGGAGTTTGAAACCAGCCTGAACCAAAGTGAGACCCTGTCTCTACTAAAAATAGAAAGAAATTAATTGGCCAACTAAAAACATATATAGAAAAAATTAGCCAGGCATGGTGGCACATGCCTGTAGTCCCAGCTACTCGGGAGGATGAGGCAGAAGGATTGCTTGAGCCCAGGAGTTTGAGGTTGCTGTGAGCTAGGCTGACACCACGGCACTCTAGCCTGGTCAACAGAGTGAAACTCTGTCTCAAAAAAAAAATTTAAATGTTATATTTTATACTTAACTATATAAAAAATAGAATTGGCACAGAAGATCTATGGCTACCTTAAATGTTTTGACAAGACGTGAAGAATACTTCACATTCAAAACTTAAAACCTTTTATCTGAAATAAAAATTCAAGAGCTATTCTCCTTCCCACCTAAATCACTTGTTTTGCCATAAATAAACCCTTTGGAAACAGCGAGATGCAGAAAACATTCTTGGACAATATCTTCATGCCCCTAAATGATTCACTAAGTCTGACCATCCAACAATGTATTTCTAGCAGCTGGTTTCCCTAAAGACCTTCCCACCAAATATAGTACCTTCAGCATAGCACATACCTTTCCATATTCAGATTTTTCATTTATAGTACTTATGATGCCACTTTTATCAGTGTAATTATAGCAGGTATAAATAGCTCTCTTTCTGCAATCTAAAACCAACTAAAAAAAAGTAGACACCAAGATACCAAAATCTTTCATGCTTAAAGGCAAATGAATTCAGTTCCTTTCCATGCAGCACATAATAAGCTATGTGCTTATTTCTTTTCCAAATCAATAATTTGGGACAACCTTTGAGGATCCACTCATCCTCCATGGTGAACCATCTTGCAACATGTTCTGATAAGTATCTTATGTAGGAGGAAAAGGAACATTCTTGCTAACCTACAGATTGGCCAAGTGGGGAGTGTACTGGAAGGAGAGCTAACGTCTATTGTCTCTTCCGCCACCATCAAGTGGTAGGGCTGTAATAACTTGTACCAACAGATGCCTATAGAAGCCATTCAGAATTGCCACGGCAGGGAGGAAGGCATGGGAGAAGATGAGAGACTCGGTGTCCTATGATGGAGTGCAGAGGCTGATGGCTGTAAAAAACCAGGAACAATGGAAGTGAAGTCATCCTTCTTAGGACGCCATGCCTCCAAAAAATACCCCAGTCACTAGAACATTCTTCTTCACAAATGAAACCACCTCCTCAGCTTTGCTCTTGACCTCAGTAGGTATCTGGTTGCTCTTACGGATCTTCAGCTGCTCTACTCGTTGCCAATCAACTTTAATGTAACCAGTATGGTTTGCAAGCTGAATAAGAAAAAATCCACCTCCCACAGCTGTTGCAGCCAACTTTCCAACCTTCTGGAATATGAACCCTGTACACCATCCAGTGACGCCTCCAATTAACAGCTGGGTTGCCACTCTGTACTTTTCAGCCGAAGGCCCAGATTCCTGCCCAAACAGCTTACACCACCATGGCTGTTTTATAGCAAATTCTGCAAGGTCCAGTGACTCAAAATTTCTCTCAAAGTTTCCTTGACCAGAGGTGGCCATTTCGGCGAGCTTGTCTCCCGAGGGCACTCGCAGAAGACCGGCGTTGTAGGACGTGGAGTGGCGAGCTGTCGTCGCCACCAGCTGGCTTCCGGCACGTGGGGCAGATGTTTCCATCCCCACGGCGGCAGCGGAAGAGGACGGGCTGGGGCCGTGGCCGCAGCTTCTTATTCCCACAAACAGCTGCGTCACAAGACTCAGAGGGTGGTGTCCTCATTGGCAATTCTTGATAAAACTGTTGATAAAAATTTATTTTCTTATGCTAGTGGAGAGGGAGTCAATGGTACTAACTGGGGATGGGTGGAGATTTTCCTATGAAGACCAGAGAATTGGAATGCATTAGTTTAGTCACCTCCTTTATATCACACAACATACACTCTTCAAAAGACACTGCAGGGGCAATATATGTAACCCCAACTATATTTGTACCCCCATAATATGATGAAATAAAAGGAGGGAAAAAAAGACACTGAGAGAACTCAATGAATATACAATTTCCTAGTCATTGATCAAGTGCCCTAGGTTAAGCTCTTCTTCATTTCTGCATTTTATTTACAGTGTAAATTGGAATCACTGGTGTTCTTAGACGTTTCTAGAAGAACAAAGCAGAAATCCTTTAGGGAAAGTCAGGTTCCACTTATGATCCCATCTCTTGACTCAACCTTTAGAACAATAGGTTTTTCTGGAATAAGTTCCCTTGGGCTGAATTTCATGGGGATCTGCAACAGTTAAACAACCATATTGAGAAGCAATAAATGAAGCAAATAAAGAAAAGATAGAAGTAAAGTAGAAAAGATATATTAAGGACAATAATGCTTTGCAAATATATAAAACCGTCTTTTAGCATCATATATCTTGGATTCTGTATACTTATTCTTTAAGCTGTGTGAAGACTGGATAGTGAAAGCATTCTTGCATCCATCATTTAATACAATACTTACTGAGCACCTCTTTTGTGCCAAGTCTGAGACAAACTCATTTTGGCTTGAGTTTTTTAAAATTAAATTTTATGTAAAATGAATGAGGCTTAAACATTTATTCCAAATTCTTAGGCATTATAGCAAACTATCTGTGAACAGCCATATGAAGGTCATTTTATGTATGTTGAATTTTGCAATGTTCTCCTGAATAGGTATTATACACTTTAATCACATGGGCAGTCTTTGAATTCTAATCAATCCTGTCACTCTTCTCTAGGGAAATGGTGCAGTATAATGATGGAAAGTTGCCTTTAGAAACTATCATGCTTTTGTTTTCTAACATCTACTCCAGTTTTTTCAAATGTAATGCAAATGGAGAACTTCTCATGTTCTACAGTGTTTTGATTAATACTTTGGGTACAATTCTTATTGAGTCACTCCTTCCATGATGGGAGAGCCACCAACAGAGTAACCTTATGATCTTATTTAACTGCAGGGTTAACAAATTGTCATGGGGATTGAGAAATGCCAGCCTGTAGATGGCTGGGAGCTTGCCTGGGAGTATCTTTCCCATCCCAGGCATGCCAGCAGCCAGCTTTCTCTAGGACCTCAGCTGCCTATTTGTACACACTTCTTGGACAGCTCCACAGCTGCTCTAAACTCTCAAATAAGGTAGAACTATTTCCATCCTTCTCTTCTCCCATGCTAAAAGCCTACATTAGAGGAGGAGTTGCATATGGAATGCATGAGTCTAGAAGTAAGACTTATAGTGGCTTGGTTCATATGAATTAATGACAGTTGTTCCTGAAGGTCTTCAGATGAAATACCCAAATATTTCTATAACTGCAACACATTATTTTTAATTTCAAATGGAATAGACATATTTTCCTTGTAGAAAGACAGATAGACACACACAGACACAAATGTCATTTGTTAAGTTTTAAAAGCAAAATGCTTAATGTTTGTATCCATGAGATCCAAATAAACTGCAGATCGCTCCTTAAACATTTACTGAATATTCCTAATGGATGATGTATTCATCAAGACACCATTATGACTTCATGAGAACAATAAAATGAAGTGATTGAGTTAAGGCAGTATTCAGTTAAAGTATTCTGGACACAGTGAAAATATACAGCACAAACTGGATAATGAATGACAAGGTATTAAATTAGGTGGTGCTAACATCCTGCACTAACCAAAAACAGAGCAGAGATTGGACCCTGGACTAGGCAGGGAAGATTCTTTGGAGGCACTTGGAGTTTGAACTAATACTTGAAGGATGAGTAGAAAGAAGAGGAGAGTGGGAAGAATATTTATGGAGTTACTAACTGGCTGAAAAGGAGCCAGCCTGGTATGGAGGAGGGCACAAAAAAGGTGAATTCAAACATTCAGGATGGTCCTAGTCGGTGCGACCCTTCATGTCTGGTAGAAGTGCCTTAAATCAGTGATTTTCCAACTTGGCTTCAAATGAGAACCAATGGGGGAAGTTTTAAAGCCACATTTTGGGTCAGTTATTTTAGAGTTTATGAGATGACCCAAGGCAGATTGATATTTTAAAGCTTCCTGGTGATTCTAATGTGGTGCCAGTCGTTGAGGCGCAGTGTCACGAGGGAGCGTCTCTAAGTTCGGGTCAGAAAAGCACCCCTCAAAAGTCATGGTGAGATAATCACTGTATTGTGTGATTGTGCAAAACTCTTTCTTATCTTTCCAATTGATTTGAAACTGAATTTAACTCTTGTTCAATTTCAAAGAGACTGAACACAATTATTGTTTTTTTATTTCTTGCCACTGCTAACTGGCTATGTTATAGAGACTGGATATATTTATGTCATGGTAATATGCATTTACTTTAGATGATGTTTATAGTTTGGTCTTTATAAAGCCATGTCTTGAACTGTAGAACTGAAGCACCCTTAAAACAACTCACTATTGCAAGATCATGGAAACAACCCAAGTGTCCGTCAATTCACGAGTGGATAACTAAAATTTGGTATATGCTCACAATGGAATACTATTCAATTCTAAGAAATGACAGTGAATTAGCACCATTTATGCTATCCTGCATTAAGCTTAAACCCGTTATCCAACTGCTTCCATCCACCATGGCGCCTTTGTCTCCCAAGGATCTTCAAACCTCAGGTCTCATCCTGTGTGTTCCACACAGACATTTCCCAACTCCCGTCCAGACTGCAGAGCTGCAGGTGTTCAGTGGTTCTGGGTGGTCTGTGTGACCCCAAAGCCTGGATATTCTGGCCAGCATGCCTCCCAGGGAGAAGGCTGGAGATGACCAGAGTGCCTGTGCACATTCATTCAGACTCTCTTTGTTGCCTTCCCCTTCCCCACCATCTGTTGCTGAGAAAGATATTTAGCATCACACCAACACTTCACAGAGAATGAGCCCTAGGCATTTCCTGTGCAGCACACATCAAGGGGTGCTCAGACTGTGATCTTTCTGCTTGGAATCCGGCCTCATGCTACTTGCCTGGAAGCTCCATCAAGCAGGCATGCCCAACAGTGAAGGGACATTGATCCTGCTCAGGTATCCTGTGGGTGACTTGGGTTCATAGCACTTCTCCCTGTATGGTCAGGGATTGACCTTCTTGATCCAAGGAGGTAAGGAATCCACATGAGCAGATCAAGGGAGAGTGCAGTGTGTGTTCTAGGTGTGGGTGCTCTCTGGGTACCCTTTCTCCCATGGGAGGGCCGTACTCTCAGCTCAGGCTGGGATCCTGAGTGGGGAACCTCCCAGACTACCTCACAGTTGGCAGGGAGCTCACTGGCTTGGGTTCCTGCCTGCCAACAGATTGCAGAGACAGACTGTGGAGAAGTGGAGAAGGGAGAGGAGGGAGACCCACTGCAGAGTATCAGCATGTGAATCTTAGATAGACCTCCTCCATAAGCAGTCTTTCTGGTTGGGTGGGCCCTTCAGCTACTCCCTGGCAGCTCTGTCCAGAAGCTGGGAGCAGACTTTGAACACTGCCAAAACAGCTACGTGGCAGCTTGTGGAGCCTTAGGGCAGGCTTACCAAGCAACCCCATCCATCGACACTCCCTAACCTGCCCCTACTGTGACAGAGAAAAGGACTCATGCGGGAGATCCAGGGCCCCAAGCAACACCTAAAGATTTCAAGTGCTTCTCCTGAGGACTAGAGCCAGTCACAGGACCAAAAATATCATTGAAGCTTGTTCCTTCCAGCAAGCTCCACCTACTGACAAGGAGGTCAATTTGCACGGCCTCTATAGCATTTACTGACTCAATAGTACAGGTGTGTTTAGGGTCCATGCAGTGTGTGAGCTTCTATGCTTGCTTATGCGGCCACTAGGAGGAGCTGTTAATTGGATTCAGGGCTCTTTCTCCATGCTTGAGGGATGGTCCTGAATGGAGAGATCAAGTGGTGTAATTGCTGAGGTCTCTAGCCAGGTTTTTCCTTCCTGTCCACAAATCTGGGCAGTTTTCCCCTCTGATAGGTCCACTTGTGTTTCCTCTTGCACCCACCAGTTCGTGTGCTGGTAGCGCTCCTGACAAAAGAACATTTTTAAATTGGCTCATTGTCCAGATTCCTTTATCAAAATGTGGTTATGAACACTTTTTTTTTTAAACATTTATTGCTTGACCTCTCTGTTTTGGCATTAGAGATGCCATACAACCATTCCCTACCTCAAAGAGATTACATTGTGGAGGGTGGAGGTAGATAATAAACAAACTGGAAAATATACCGTGGTCATATGAAGAGTAATGAAACTAAGTCCAGGGAAAGTGACAGAAAGTGATGGCGAGTAGCAGTTCAGGCTGGTTGGTCAGCAAAGGACTTTCTGAGGAGGTCATGTTTGTACTGAATCTTAAATGACAACAAAGAATGTCCAGCAAAGGATGAGAATGTCCAGCAAAGGATCAACGCAGGAGTTCTGGGCTGCACAAACACTTCACATTCCTGAAAAAGAGATTGCCCATGACCACCTTCAGGAAGACAACCTTTAAGCTCTTGGAACATCCTGCCTGATAAAAGTATCTTTGTATAACTGGCAGGTGTAGCCAGGCCAGATAGGTTTTTGGTAACAATGTGATTTAGGGTGATGTCTTGGGTCATGCTGTGTAACTATAACCACTGTAGGGGCATGAAACTGAATAACTAATGTCAGTCACAGGTGTGCCCCATGCCTACCTGACTGATGTCAAATAAGAAGCTTGAATGTCAAGATTCAGCTGAGCTTTTCTGGTTGGCAACACATGTGCATGTTGTCAACATTATTCCCTGGAGAATTAAGTGCTGTCATAAAACTCCATTATGAGAGGGAAAACAGGAGGCTTACATCCTATGTGCCTTTTTACCTTTGCTGATTTTAATGCATATCCTTTTGTTTAATAAGCATAACCATGAATATAACAGCTTTTGAGTTCTGTGAGTCCTTGTAGAGTAGCCTTGAGCCTGAGGGTAACTTTGGGGACACTTGACACACAGATAAACTGGAGGGAGAACATTCTAGGGTAAGTGAATAGCTTGTATAAAAATCCCAAGATGGGATGCAAATAAGATTTAGACCAAACACAGCAAGGGGGGGGTGGTCAGCCCAATATCACACATCAATGAGAAGGAAGATTTGACCCAGAGAGTGTTATATTCGAGATTCGCAAGGCCGCAGGACAGAGAGACAGAGTCACCGAGGCTGTAATTATCACAAGGAGTTTTATTGTCTAGCTCGAGCTGGGGTCCAAGCCCCCAGAGTGCCAGTGCAGTGGCCTCTTCTTTGGGCAGGGACCCTCTTTTGTGTGCTAGTGCCCTTTTATAACTAAATTGT